CCTGGTGGATTCGAACTGCTGATCTTGTGGTGGGAAGCCTGCCACCCCACCAGAACGACTTTCCTCTGCACCGGGAACCCCAAACCTTCCCGTGACCTGTGGTATGAGCTGGTCTGCACCGGAGCCTGCAGTCTTTCTGAGGTGTTCCTCTAACCATCTTGACTGCAGAAGGTGAACAGCCTGACTTCTCTCAACCTCCAATCTCGACTTCCCTCCTCCAACCCCCATCTCCCTATCTCAGAGAAAAGCCACCATTTGGATATGGAAGATATTTCATTTCCAAATGCTATTTGTCTCCTCCAGGGAGTTCTAAGCATTGGAGTTGGACAGTCGAGGGCAGAGAGAAACCAGGTGAAGCACCTTGGTAGTCACTTGGACAGTCCACTGTACAGTGTAGGCCACCATTACCCCTTGAGTCTAAGTCCCCAAGCCCCATGGGGACCTCTTAGCTACGCTCTCAGAAAGGAAGAAAGACATGCTTTCCCAGAAGCAAAACAGAAAAGATTAGTCTTTTGAGCCACTTCATTGCAGACAGCCCTGCATGCCGTTTCCATGGAATTGCTGCTGCTTCTCTGGGGCCAATGATGCCAATTCCGCACGAGAAAGTTCTCCCAAGAGGTCCCAGCAGGGCAATCTAAAAACCAATCCTCAGGGGTCAAACTGACTTTCATTTTTCACACGTCTTCCTGAGGTACAAGTTGAAGGAGGGAAACGGTTAGTGAAGAACGGTGGATTGAGGAGTAGTTCTTAACCACTGTGCATCCATTTAAAAGTGGACAAAGCTCGGGGTTGGGCTTGGGAGGGGCGCACGATGTCTGTATTCCTTTCTGGTGGCTGTTGTAACATATTGGTCACAGATTTGGTGACTCAAAACAGCAGACCTCTCACAGGTTTGGAGGCCAGAAGTTCAACACCCATTTCACGGGGCCCAAATCAAGATGTCACCAGGGCAGTACTCCCTTTGGAGGCTTTAGAGGAGAATTTGTTCCTTGCCTCTTCCCGTGTTGGGTGGCTGTCAGCATTCCTTTGCTTTGGGCTGCACCCCATCAACCCCTGCCTCCATCTTCACATCACCTGCTCCTTTCCTACGTGTCCCAAATCACCGTCTCTCTGTTACAAGGACATTGCCATCGGATTGAGGGCCTGTCCGGACAGTCTAGGACTGATGTCTGCATGCTACCATTCTTAGTTTAATCTGCTCTGCACAGACCCCTTTCCCTTATTCCAGAAACTCACTGCCATCGAGCCAGTGCTGACTCATAGCAACCCCTGTGGGTTTCCGAGACGGTAACTGGTTACAGGACTAGAACGCCAAATCTTTCTCCCCTGCTGGCGGATTCGAAATGCTGACATTTACAAGTTCCAGAAACTAGGACACGAAATCCTTGAGTGTCCATGATCCAGCCTACCGCAGAATCCAAAATCTTGGCACACGACTCTAGGAAGATCATGCACTCCAGGTCAGAGATCATCCGGAATTGTATTTCACCACAGGTGGGCTGTGGACAAGGAGTCCTGGTGGTGCAGTGGTTACAGTGCTGGGCTGCTATCAGCAAGGCGAGCAGTTTGAAACTACCATCCTCTCAGAGGGATAAAGACAAGGCTTTCTACTCCCGTGAAGAATTACAGTCTTGGAAACCCGTAGGGGCAGTTCTACCCTGTCCTAGAGAGTCGCTATGAGTTGGCATCAAATGGATGGCGGGGAAATTTTTGGTCTTACCCTCAGAATGATGTTTAGAATTGTGGTTTATAAATCTCTCTCCACCAATGACCACCAAGCCATTGCCACAAAGTCAATTCTGAATCATAGCCACTCATGTGTTGCCACATAGAACTGCTTCATAAAGTTTTCTGTGCCTTAATCTGTACAGATCTCCAGGCCTTTCTCCCAGGATCCCCACTACAGGGATTGCAAAGGCTAACCTTCAGGATTAACTGTGAGAACCGGAACCTAAGGGGGCTGCTTTGGCTTTCCGGGGTCTCATCTGTGTTTCGTGCACAGTATTTGCGTTTTCCTTCTCTGATAGGTGTTGGCCATATGCCGTTTCAGATTGAGCCGGTTTTACTGGACCCTGCTTAACAAAAAAAAGACCCAGTAGTTGCTCAGTGGGAGAAAGATGAGGTGTTCTGCTTCCTGAAAAGTTCCCAGCCTCTGAAACCCACAGGGGCAGTTCGACTCTGTCCCATAGGGTCGACAGTGCTCATTCAAACACCAGCCTCCCGTCCGTCTTCTAGTCCTAGTAACTCACACAGACCTAGAGGCGGGGCCCAGGCATCTGCATTTGTAATAAGCTCTCCAACATGGTTCCCTGCAGTTTGCCTGCCACCCATCCTCTAGTGAACACTGGCTATGAGATGAAGCCCCCTCTCTCTCTTTTTCAAAAAATTTTTATTAAAAGATCATTTTGTTGGGGGCTCTCACAACTCTTGTTACAATCCATAGGGCAATGGTGTCAGACATATTTGTACATATATTGCCATCGTTCTTTTCTTTTACTTTCTTGTTCTTTTACTTTCTATTGAACCCTTGGGATCAGCTCCTCTTTTCTTCTCTCCACGCCGCCCCCCATGGCCTCTTGATAGATTATAAATTATTATTATTTTCATATCTTACACCGACCGCTGTCTCCCTTCCCCTCTGGTTTCTGTTGTTCTTCCCCCTGGATGGGGGATGTGTGGTTATGTGCCATTCATTGCGATTGATTCCCCCTTCCTCTCCCTTCCTTCCCCCTACCCTTTTGGTATCACTTTTCCCATTCCTGTTCCTGGATTCTGTTTGTCAGGAGCTTTATCTCTTCCCCGTCCAGTCCAGACTGGGAAGCAGCACTAGGGTCATGACAGTGGGGGGTGAGGAGGCCTCAAGGAACCAGAGGAATATTGTGTGATCCATGAGTACTCTACTGCACCCTGATTGATTCCCTGGGACCCCTCTGTGGGGAGGATCTTCCATAGTCTACAGAGGGAGATCCTCTTCGACCTCCCTCATTCTCAGCAACGTGTTTTTGTTTGTTTGCTTATAGTTTGTTACGAATCTACTGATGCCTGTTACACTTCCTTCACAGGGCTGCTGAGACGAAGGAGAAGCGGTGCACAGGCAAGCTCACGTGTGAGAACCTTTGACTGCTTGTTTGTTTAAGGTCTCTCCTCTGTTGCGTGGTGGTTAGCGTTGGGATGTGATGCTCAAGGGCGGCAATTCGAAATCACCAGGTGCTTGGTGGGCGAAAGAGTGGGCTTTCTACATCCTTAAAGAGTTACAGTCTCGAAAACCCACCGAAGCAGAGCTATCTGGCCCTATAGGGTCGCTATGAGTTGGCATGGGCCTGAGGGTCATCAGTTTGGTTTGCGCTTGCTTGTAAAGCACGAACCTCAAAGGGCAGATTCAAGCTCAGGGAGGAAGGGAGAGGAGGGGAAACAAGGGTGGGGAAGAAGCCCCCCCTCTGGAGTGAATGGCTAAACTAGTGGGTTGGGAGCATCAGAGCTGTGCGGGCTTCCCCGCCGGCTCCCTTCCTCCACCACCCGCACTCCCCACCGGCTGCGCGGGGAGCCCGCCCCCGCGCCACGCGGATTGGCTGCCGCGCCTGGCTCATCACGCTCTTTTGTCTCAGTGGGCAGGCTAAAAGCACCCGCCGCCGCTGCCCTGGGAACGCGCTGCCTGCACTGGGCTCCGCTCGCTGGGCGGCGTGCGTAGCGGCTCGGAGGCGCGCAGCGCTGTCTCCGCGAGCCACCGAGGAGGCGTCGGAGGCCAGGACGCGACGCCGACATTCGCTGCCATCACTGGGCACAGGTAGAGGCAAGGGCACCTTTGCCTGGCATGGGGGAAGCGCATGCCCCGCCGCCCGGCTGCCCCCCACTTCCATCCCCACCCC